CTCTTTTATATTTTATTCAGTGGCGGAAACGGGCTTCCATAGTCTGCTGCTGGCCGCTTGGTCGTTAAAAACAAAAACTGATATTTAACGACCGAAAATGCTCCAAACGTTTTTCTAAATCAACTTAATAAAAAAAAAAAACGAAACGAAATATAATCATTTTGCCATTACATACAAAACTGAACTATTTTAGCTGAAAGAGTAGTATAAGCTGTTTTGGGAGAAGGGGTGAAAAAAAGACGGGTTTGCGTCGGGCTCGGGACGGTAATTCTGATAAGCTGTCGGACAAGGGCCGGGGCCTGAGCGTCTCGGGCCAGGGCCGGGCTAGGGCCTAAATTTGAGGTCCGTGCAGGGCTCTACTGCCTTTGTCTTGTCCTCACTCAATTTAAAGTGCTCCCACACAGCTGAGGTCTTCGGCACTTTTGTCTTCTCTTCCAGATTAACTGAATCATGACGTTCATGACGTTTACTCATGGGCGATTCATATTCAAGTGGGAAATGAGAACCGTTTTGCCAGGTGTTCGGAAAAAAAAAAGAATATTCGAATCTCAAAATTGAAAATCGAATGCCAACCCACCGAACGAATATTTGAATAATCGAATATTCTGGTCCAGCCCTAAATAAATGTAAATGGTGACTGAGGCTGTCAGTCACTAACGTTCTGCCTGCCATCTTTTTTGTCCTCCACAGGTGAAAGTCATTGTCTTAAGGTTATAATAACATGGTTTATGTTCACATACTTATAGCTTTTGTTTTTCTTAGTGGAGCAGATGCCAGAAGTTCCCCAAATTGTAGGACTAACTTATGCCTTATAAAGTGTTTGTTTGTTCTAGGACTTGTGAACGCTGTCATTTGGTCGTGCATGTCCCTGAGAGCCTGACGTTTCTCTTCAATGGCTGCCTCTGGCTCCTGCGCCACAGTGCCTGAAGGATTTCACTATGAGACCAAGTATGTCATCCTCAGCTACCTCAGCCTGCTCCCGCCGTCAAGATCAAGACCCTCAGAGACCGCGGAGGGTAAAAACTCACATCCACAATTCAGTATGTACAAACTGCCTGCCTGCCTGGCAAGAATCATAATGAGTTTAATTTAATCTCAAAACAATGACAAAACCTTCAGTGGTACGCTCGTTTCGCTTATGCAGGAAAACAGCAAGCAGTTGTATATTGTAATGCAAGAAAGCACATTTTCTGTTTTATGCAATACAAAATTCCTGTAGAAGTAATGACACTGATGAAAAAGTGTAGAAGTTTTGAAACTTTACACCATTACAGTTTCTGTCTCTAGTAGGGTTTGTCTACAGTTACTGAGGTCACATTCCAGCTCCAGGAATCTCCATTTTGCCCTTGAACATGGACTGTAACTCAAAGTACTGTATACAAAGTGCCGTAACCAGTATAATTTGATTGAAAAATGCCTGCAGGTATTGCAAGTAATGCATTAACAAATCCTTCAGAGTGCATGTTTTGTCTATACTTGTCGCAGTCCATATACAGTTGGCAAATTTGGTTCTGTTGGTATCATTTAGCCTATATGTTTTGTGTCCGATTCTCGCTTCGAACAGTCCATGGCATTTTGTTTAGAGGAGACGTTGCAAGGCGGATTCTCATGAATATTGACTTTTACGTTGTTTTATTTAGTCCTTGTGGAGTTTATAAGTGGATGCAAAACGCACATAAAGTTTGTCACTGACAGTTAGTCAGGTTGACTTTATTACAGAGGATGGTATGGGCTTAAGCTGCCTGTTGGATATTTTGGAGCCTTGGGCATATCAGTGGTTCAATGAGGAATGTCATGTGTCCTGCTCTGGTTTTCATTCAGTCAGCTTTGAAAGTAGCTTCTGATCCCGCTTTCCACTCGAGCGGCTCTGCACTCTGACAGACTGTCATATGCGATCAATGTTGGCTTGTTCACATACCACTGTTCAGAGCGAAGCTCAGCCTGAACCAAACTGACCAAAGACTGGCCCGGTCTGGGAAAAGTCATTGTAAGCTCCCGTCAACTTTTATAATGTTGTAAAAGGCTTTGTCTGCTTCACAGTCATTTTATACACACTCTCTCTAAATCAGTTTCTTTCCCTCTCTAACACTTCTTTTTGTAGTCATTCACTGGGTCTGTGTGGTTGAGAGAGCTGAAAGCCTGGGCCTGCTCAAACACGAAATAATTAATCAGTGTATGAATGAATAGCCACGCAATGGTTTAAGACACCACAGAAAAAGCCAGTTGTATTACAGCCACTGTATTACAGAATTGTTTCTAATAACGTATTAAAATATAGTAAGAGTGGAATAATCAGAATTACCTGGACACATGAGAATTTTTTGGGGGAAATGGTAATAACTCAGGCTTAATTTTCTTTTTGCTATTTACATATACTATCTGGAGCGCATGATATGTTTTGACATTATGTTCAAAGTGCTGAGTTTGACTCTGTATTGTCATTCTGTTGTGTGTCAGGTTGTGTGCTGAATATACTGGTCATTATGTAAGTTCTAAATCTAATAGTAATAGTGCTAGTTTCTGTTGAATACAAAATGAAATGGATGCTAATATTTCATCCAAAATTCACATTGTGTTGCCCCTACATCCTGCTTTGCAAAAGTCAACCTCCGCTGATAATAAATAGATCTATTGGATTGTTTAAGGGTTATTGAAGTCCATTAGTACTGTATTTTGAGAAAATTAGTGCATCTGTTACTGTCAGTATCTTTGGCTCAGTTTCATCATTAGTTTTAATAATTATTTTACTAATTATTCAGCTAAAGAATAATACCTGGGGTTATCTGGCTGGTGTTGGCTTAATATATTTGCATCAAGGTTCAAATAAATAAAATGCTGAAGGAGCTGATGAAAATATAATAATGCTTACATGTTTTGTTTACACCAAATGTATGAATTAAAAAAAAAAAAAAAATCAATTCAATGAATTAATGAATTCAGAATTATTTAATTAAAATTAATTCAAATAGTTATTGCTCCAAAATTCCAGCTGTTAATGTATCTTTCATTCATTATTTTGTCTGTATAGATTTACAAATGAATAGTCAGTAAACTCTTATTTTCTTTAAAAAATAAAATTAAATAAAGTACTAAATAAGGAAATGCATTTTGGTCACACTTGACCAGGTAAATGATTACATCAAAATAAGAGAAATTATAATTATTCATATATAGTTATATACTAAAAACTTTTTTGTGTTATGATTCTATGCAGGAGAGAGCCATTCTACACAGGAAGTGAAAAGAGAGCGGAACAGCAGCCTGAAGAAACAGATTGAGAATGAAATGAAGCAGCTGGAAGAGGAAATTGCAGCCTGTAAGATGTCTCTTGTTATTACACTGTATTTTTGTGATAAAATGAATCTGAAATCTGAATCATAGTTTAAGTCATCTGCCTCTTTTTCTGCTCAGCTTTTTCCAGGACTGGTTTTGATCAGCTCACATCCCCAGTGTTCAGTCCAGCCAATCCAGAAAGCTCCATAGAAGACAGCCTGGCAGTGCTGGGGGACCGCATCTCAAGGGACCTGGACACACACCTGTTCTCCGCCACTCACACGCTTCTGAACAGGTCCTATTAAATATCCAGGGAAATTCCTGGACAATTTTAGTAGTTGGAAAAAAGATCTAGTAACGTACTTGGCAGAGGTCTATGCCAGAAAAATGCATTGTGTAAACAGCCTGCACACACAGTTATCATAAGTTGGCTTCAAATGAGTTCATTCTTGACATTTAACTTAAATATTGACTAAAGCTTTCAACATATGTTATGCTGATGTTTTTCTGAAGAACAAGCAAATTCAAATTAATGCAGAGAAATATTCGTAATGTATGTGCCTCTCATGCAGTGATTTGGACTTTGAGCACTTCAGAGCAGCGGTGGAGGAGGTGTCCTCTCATGCTCAAGGAGGATGGAGCAAGGTAATCCAAAAAACTCAGCACCCTGAAGGCAATTGAGAAGTTTCACAGAATCGTGAATGTCTCTGTCCTTCATTTCCTTATTTTGTCATTGTGTTGCTCTGTTTAGGTGTTGGTACCCTTAGTATTGTTACAAGCGCTGCAGAATGAGGGGCAGCCACTGGAAACTCTGCTACATTATGGTTTGCGTTACCTTGAGGAATCGCAAGCAGACTTCATCATTGAGCAGCGAGGATGGGTGAGTGACTTATATTTGATGGGTGATGTGGATGGATCTGTATGGTATAGCCAGTATATATATATATTCTCTTTGGAGTGTTACAAGCTGATTGTGCATAGATAAGATCCCTGAAGTTGCAAAGACTAAAATCTCAAAACCAAAGAGATATTCTTTATCAAAGATAAGACTCTGCCATGCCCCCCTAAAATGGCTCGTTCTAACACGCCCCCACATATCTACCTCACTATGTGGAAATATTTGCGTAATGCCGCCCAAATGTTCACGCAAAGAAAGAAGGCGTGGTTTCAGTAACCGCAGTTA